CACACACACACACACACACACACATTGATTTCCAGCACCAGGGGTAGGGGATGGTTTATTAAATATTTCTGTGGAACACTACCTCCAAAGAGTTCACAGCATGTTTGAGTCACTACCTTGGAACCCCTTAAAACCTACTGAAGTGTAGGGGAGTACAATGATTTCTGACCTATAAGAACAGAGTTGGAAAGTTTGCTCAAGTCGCATGATTATGTGCCAGTGCTCTGCTCTTTAAAACACACTCCTCTAAGGATACCACACTTGTTTTTCTCCCTAGGTTAGTTGTGTAACCTGTTTTATTTTTTAAATAATGTGTGGGGTTGTTTCTTACCTCAAGGTTTTGGTTTTTTTTCTGATGCAGCACCATTACACACACAACTTCCAAACTTAGAGGAAAAGAGAGGAAAAGAGCAGAGTTTATAAAGAAGCCCCAGATTCCAGATCACGCACTTAGCTGATGGGATCCTAAGGAGTGTGTTTGACCACTGAGAAATGAGCCTCTTACACGAGGTTAAGAATGCTGGCGTTGGGGAAACACATCCTGGTTTGGATCTCTGCTCTACCATTTACACGCTGTGTGACCTTGGGCAGGTCACTTAACTAGGGCCAATTTCCTCATTTATGTAATGAGGATAATAACTGCTTTGTAGACGTGATGAGGGTTATAATGTACAAAAAGCACTTAACACCGTTTCTAGGACAAAGCAAGAGTTCAAAACATGTTGAAGAATTATTGTTGTAGTTGTAGGCTGGTAGGAAGCATTGCAAATTATTTTACTACAGCGTCTCTCATCTGACTTTTCTTTGACTAGCTCAGTGGCTACGAGCTGGGGGTGATTTTGCCCCCAGGGGACATTTGGCAATCAGTGTCTGGAGAACTTTCTAGTTGTCACAACTGGGGAATGCTACTGGCATCCAGTGAGCAAAGGCCAGGGATGCTGCTAAACATCCCACAACGCACAGGACAGCTCCCCACAAAGAATTATCCAACACAAATGTCAACAGTTCTGAGGTAGAAAAGCCCCGGAAACTAAACAATATGAGGTTTTTAATCTATTGAAACCATGTAACAACTTTAGTTACTCAGATCTGGAAAAGTATTTTGCACATACTATTCTGAGATCTAAAAATCTGAAGTGTGTTTT